TTTATTGTCGTTCTCGTGATACTCATACCAGCATTGACAACAAAGCCAGCCTCCTACTATGGTCACCCTGAACCGTAATCCCTAACCCCTAAACCCCAAACCCTAAACCCTAAACCCTTCAACCCCAAACCCTAAACCCCTAAACCCCTAAACCCTAAACGGGAAGTGAAAAGCGATCCAAGCTCGGGATCAGAGGCTCTCTTCATGTACCGCTCGGCGCAGGAGACGACCGCCACCACCAGGAGGAAGCCGATACTCCACAGACCCATCCACAGGACCAGCCAGGTGTCTTCGGGCTTTACCTCTCTTCAATAACCGGGCCCATTTTGGGGCTTTGGGGTTTAGGGGTTTAGGGGGTTTAGGGCTTAGGGTTTATGGGCTGGGTTTACGGAACCCGGGAAACCCCCAAACTTTCTGAGAGAGACCCATGAGTAGGAGGGCCAAAAAGAAGCTTAAAGCACTCCAGCTGGCCATCGAAGTTACCACAAGCCCCTCAATGGGGTTCAGGCTGCCCGTGTGGAAGTAGAGGACGAGCTGTAGTATCAGGAATCCCATGACGAGGGTGGCACCATCAAGGGAAGCTTCGTGAGCGGCGTGGTCCCAGTGGCAGAACCTCCGCACCCTCTGGGGCCCCGGGAGCTTTCCAGCCAGGGGATCCCGATTCAGAAGATCCCGGCCAGGGCCGCCATCAGCTTCCGGCCTGTTTGAACCTCAGCTCTTCTGAAGGAGCTTCAGCCATCATAGGAAGGAGGGTTTGTGAACACTCCGCTTCTCCTTACAGCGGAGAAGAGGAAACCTCGCTTCTTCAAACAGCCCGTCTAGCGCCCAAGTAAAACGCCTTACAACACCCCAGGAAGGAAGATGTGCCCTGCTACAAAACCTCTTGCAGAGCCTCACAAAAACACGTCATCTACCATTCAGACCTTTGCAACACGAATCAGGAAATGGCAACGAAAAACCATAAATCCCAATACAGACCGTGGAGAAAGCCCTTCATAAAGCTCTGTGAACATAAAGCCCTGGAACAGAAGCTTCGGAGACTGGTCCACGAGGTCAGCTCGTTCTCCTGGACTCGTATCAAGCAACTTACTTTTTGGGCTTTGGGCTTTAGGCCTTTTGGGTTTTGGGTTTGGGGTTTAGGGTTTAGGGCTATTAGGTTGCCATCTTACAGGGCTTTAAGCAAGGTTTTGCTGGACGTGTTAGAAGGGCCTTTATCAAGGTTCCTGTTGAGGAACTTGGCTTAGCTTGAGGCAAAAGGCCACGGCCGACTACCCCTAAACCCTAACCCCGTAAACCCTAAACCCCGAACCCCTAAACCCTAACCCCTAAACCCCTAAACCCTAAACCCCTAAACCCTAAACACTTAACCCTAAACCCCAAAACCCCTAAACCCTAAACCCTACTACCTAGACCAAGCTCCTTCACAACGTCCCTTGCTCAGCCCCGACAGGATTCCAGGAAGCCTTATAGTCAAAATGGGCTTAGGGGCTTAGGGGGCGTAGGGGTTTAGGGTTTAGGGGTTTAGGGGATTAGGGTTTAGGGATTTAGGGTTTAGGGTTTCACGGTTCCCTGTTGGGGCTATATTGAAAAATAGTCAGTTTTAAGCCTTGTTGGGTTGTATTCTAGATGCAAAAGTGAATCCAACAAGGACCCAGTTCAGGGTCTAGCCCTAACATGAACCTCGCCTCTGCCTCCTCCTGCTCGTGAAAGGTCTCCGTGATGTCCCAGTACTCCGACATGCAAAACTCGGCAATCTCGGGCTGCTCAAAGTGGATCGTGGAGTTGTCGTGGGGCCCTTCGGGCACCTTCGATTTTTTGCTGAGGGGCTTTGGGTGTCCTTTTGGGGCAGTGCGCGCACCGCCTCAGATGAGGGCGTTTAGAGCTCGCAGGGTGTTTGAATACTTTTGGGGGCTTTTGCTTTTGGGCTGTACCCTCAGGCAAAATGCCCCGCACCCGAGGCACGAGAGGACTGTAGACGTGGGCGTCTGCCGTCATGTGGACCTTGTACTGCCGCTCCAGCATTCCGCTCTTCGTTTCACCGAAGTTGTGATACTCACCTTCCTGATCCTCTTTCTGCCACCTGAAGGATGTAACTTGCGACACCTACTGCGGTGTTTAGGGTTTAGGTTTATAAGGGTTGGTCTTGGTGAGTGCACTTGACTCTCCTGAGGAAGATTGGTGAGTGTAAACTGGCGGGAAGGAAGGAACATCTTTCCAATGGTAACCCTACGTTACAAGAGCTTGCCAGGAGTATTGGGAACCGGCAGCATGAACTTCCAAATCCTAAAGCCCGGCAGCACGCTAAGATACCTCCACAAATCCTAAACCCTAAACTTAAACCCTAAACCCTGAACTGACAGGGCTCATCGCCACCTGACATCCACCTCCTGGATGCATCGCGAGCGTGCCAGCTTCGCAAGAAGGAGCGCGGCTCGAAGGACCATCTGAGAAGCTTCTAAATCTAAAGAATCCTGTTTGAGGTCGCTGAGGGTTTCAATTTCAGGGGTTCTGGGCAATCTGAGGCGTTCTTGGGCTTTCTTCTGCAACTTTTTGTATAAGTCTCATGGCAGCCAGGGTCCCCCCCCCCCTGTCTGTGGAAACCGCCACATCTGGAATGTTGGGACCCTTGATGCACTCTAGGGCACACAGTAGAAGAAGGGGCTTCTCGGAGCACGGAGGGATGCTTCAGAAACTCGCAATATAAGTGCCCTAAACCCTAAATCCAATTTAAGCGCGTAGCGCTTGGGGTTCAGAGTTTCGGGCAGAACACAGCCTGAACCGGAAAAGCCTGGCCCCCAACCCGTAAAGAGACCCTAAGGCACCGCAAGGAAGGAAAGGAGGCCTAAAGTAGGGGCCGCAATATCCGGGTCTGGCTTAAGGCTTTTAAGGTTGAGGCTTACGATCCAGACCTTGGCGATAAGGTTCCTGGCTTGGGGCTCAATGATTCGGGTTTAGGGGTTTAGGTATTAAGGTTTAGGGTTTAGGGTTTAGGGGTTTAGGTACTTAGGTCTCTTCTGGGCTGACGTTTAGATGCTCGAGGGCCGAAAACTGTCTTGCTTTCTGTTTGGAGGTGCGCTGAACCGTCATTCATGCGCTCCGGGAGCATGCGCTGTAGAGCGGGCGAGCAGGCAGGTGAGCCAGTGACGTGTGAGAGCGCCGGTGGGTCAGTGGGTAAGCGATTGCGTGATCGAGTGTGTGATCGAGTGCATGGACGGCTGAATTTGCGGAACAATGAGGTTGAAGCTTGAGCGAAAGCCTTCCTTGCATGGCAGCCGAAGCTTCAACAAATCGAAAAAAAGCAGCTCAGCCTTCCAGAAGGCACGGGAGAGTGCCAAAAAGGCAGACCAAAGCCGCGACTGCTCGAACCGCCTAAAGGCCCTAAAATGCAGCCCAGCTACTGCAGCCCACGGCAGCACCAGGTAGCACTTCAAGCTGGACGCTTTCATGCTCTGCTGCAGAGAGCCAAAAGCTCGGATCAGGAGAAAGGCCGTGATGTGCCCTGAGAGTTGAGCCACGGCAAAGGACCAGTGCTTCATGTCAGCATGGAGGAGCTTCTTGGTCCAGGTGCCACAGTGCTCTTCTTCCCCTTCCGAAGCTTTGTTGCACCAGGAGTTGGGGGAGTCCCGGCACCAGTAGACGAGGCAGCTGGAGAAGACGTAGAACCCCACACTCAGGAAGCCGTAGATGCGCGCCTGAACCAGTGGTCCGGCACTCCGGTTCAGCCCCGGGCTCTTGCCCATCCACAGCTGCTCGATGAGTACGCCATGCAGCGCGATGCTGAAGGTGGAGGCGGCGAAGATGGACACGGTCGTACAGCTCAACTGCTTCTCTGCTGCCTTCACTGGATCGGACTGCGAGTTCACCATGCAGAGAAGCCCCATCATTGTCAGGACAAAGGAGATCATCACCAGGCAAAGCATCCACTCAGGTCCGTTGATGCCCTGCCCATGCTCGATCTCACTCAAGTGCTCCTCCTGGCGGCCAGGAACACAAGCAGATCAATGGAAGCAGGAGCACCAACGAGCACAAACCCAAAACAAACAGCAAAAATCGAGAAAAAAAGCAAAGACTTTATCATCGTCGCTATCCGCCCTGGGCTCCACACTGCGGAAGAAAAACCACAACAAATCCCCTAAACCCTGAAAAAAAACCCTAAAACCCTCAGCCCCCAAATCCCCCAAAAATCCCCTAAACCCTGAAGAACCCCTAAAACCCCCAAAAATCCCCCAAAAAATCCCAAAAAAATCCCGCTAAAGCTCTGAGAGTCTCCTCCTTCAGTAGCTCCTCCTGCCTCTTGGAGGCCTCCAAGCAGTGATCCGTAGCTAGGGGTTTAGGGGTTTAGGGGTTAGGGGTTTAGGGGTTTAGGGTTTAGGGGTTTAGGGTTTAGGGGTTTAGGGTTTAGGGGTTTAGGGGTTTAGGGATTTAGGGGTTTAGGTGCCTAGGGGTTTAGGGCTTTAGGGTTTAGGGGTTTAGGGTGTTAAAGTCCACAACCCAAAACCAACCCCCACAGCTCTGGGCTTCGAGGTTTGGGGGGGGGTTTGGGGTTTTGGGTCTAGGGGTTTAGGGTTTAGGGTTTAGGGGTTGAGGGTTTAGGGGTATTGGGTTTTAGGGTTTAGGGTTCAGGGTTTAGGGCTAAACCTGACAGAAGCCTAAACGCCTCCCAGAGCTTACCCTGAAAGCTCAAGCTGAACCCTAAGACGCTGTAGACCTCAGACTCCGCATCCCTAAACCCTAAACCCTAATCCCTAAACCCTCTCTTACCTATATAGATTTAAACCT